GGGGGCAAAGGATATAACTATTCTGTCAAGGATGGTTATAAGGTTGTGAAAGATTTTGAGCCTTGTCAGATGAATCCCAAAGCTTCCTCTTCGTTCTTAATTCTTAAGGAACTTTAGAATGCTATTTGAAATATGAAAATCCCCAACAAAGTTAAGTTTTTCTTATGGCAGTTAGTGTCTAATACACTTCTAAATTTTGAGAGTCTACTTGAGCATGGATGTAATATTTCTGATTTTTGTTTCATCTATTCATCAAAGCCTGAATCCATTGAACATCTTTTTTTGCTTTGCAGTTAGGTGAAAGCTACTTGGTTTGTGAGTCCTTTGTCTTTGATTTTGAATTATATGAATATCTCTTCTATGAATCATTGACTGACTAATTGGTTTTTAAATAATAACCTTGATCAAAGGCATAAAGCACTATTAGCTCGTACTTTATGGTATATTTAGATAGGTAGATGTTCCTTTATATATGAAAAAACTGATGTGGATCCTATGTTTGTTAATAAGCATGTTGCTAAAATGAGAAATGATTTTTGGCATGTTAATGGTTGGATTTATGAGGATGTTGTTTTTGAAATTCTGTCTAAATCAATTCATCTTCATTTTTTGATAGCATCTGTTGGAAATGAACTTAAAATTAATGTTGATAGTGCTTTGTGTAGTGACAAAAATGATGCCTCTATTGATTGTGTTATTAGGGATTCTAATGGATCGCTTCTTGATGGTTCACACCCTACTTATGAAGCCCATTCTGTATTAGAGGCTGAATTCCTTACTTTGGATCTAGCTGTGGAGTTTGCCATCTCTAATAATCTTGATGATGTCTATTTTGAATTGGATTCAAAAGTTATGATTGATAACTTAAATGCTAACTAAGCTCCTAAAAATTAGAAGTGTCTTCCTATTTTTGAGAACACCCTATTCAAAAGGAATTTTTTTGAGGAACTGCATTTTCTATTGGGTTCCCAAATAAGCTAATTTAGTTGTTGATAGGATTGCTAAAGCTTTGTTAAAGGAATTGTGTCATCCTGATTGGGTCACTAGACCACCAATTCCTTTTAGATCACTTTTGGATGCACTTTTAGATGCCGATTGGGAGAAATTTAAGAAATCTAGTTGATTTTCTTATCTTGTTTTTTTCCCTTTATTTCTTGACTTTGTTTATCTATTAGACTTTTTCCTTTTTTTAACGGAGTTATCTTTGTTTGCCAAAAAAAAATAACACAACCACCTTATATCCCTCCTTATATGCGACTAAAAGTAGCTTTACTTTCTAATTGTGAGGGGTTACCTGGCTAAAGGTTTTCACACTCACTCTCAAACTATGGGCTCCCCTTACTCAAATTTCAAGTGTCATATATTGCCTATCCTACACCTACTATTCTAGGATTAGTGATGTTGAGCATCGTACATGACCCATCGTACATGACACATATGTTATTGGCAATACTAAACACATAAATAGTTAGAAATGGCAACCATTGTGGGCAAACTTAATGGAGGCTATACCACGTGGATTTTTTATACAGGTCTTCGACTAATCTACAGTAAACCCCACCCGTCATGCTCATGCTCATTCAATTACTCATATGCAATATAATTGCAAAAGCCATTAAGTATATAGCATCAATACTTACATACTATCCAAATTATGTGACCATAATCACACAATTTGTCATGATCTCATCCAATTCATATAACTACAATAATCATGCATTTTAGCATGTAAACCACATAACTAAATCATAGCTAGTCCAGGCCCACAGTTCACACTTCACATTATATAACGTCTTAATCAAATTGTTTATCCAACGACCATTTTTATAGACATACTATCATTTAGCAACGATAACATATTCATAGTTTCATAGTAAATCCATACTACACATTTAATGGCACAAATCCACATAACAATCTAAATGAGGTTGCAGACATAATTATATGTAATTATAAGGTTCTCGGTTTTCTCAACTCTTTGGTTTACCACACTAATAGTGTAAATTTGGATTTCAAAGCGAGCTTTCGACTAACTCAAGCTTCGGCATACTAGGCTCTATGCATAAAGTCAAAGAAACATTATTAATAACTAATCATTATTAATTATTTCTCAATTAAGGCATGATTTTCTACTAAGCATAATTAAGTCTATCTAACCCTAAAACTAATCTATATTAGTTTATTTAAGTCCCAATTAGCTTAATCATCATTGTCATTAGTTCCTAATAGCCTTAACTTAATTATTTAACATTACGGTTAACTTTAAAATTCTCATTTATGGCATTAATGGATATCAACCACTAAAACTTAGATATAAAAGCATTAATTATCAATCATAACCTCCATTAATACCCTAGAAGTTGATGCAACTCAACCCTGGGTTTGGATTTTCACTCCTATAGAAACAAAAAAGTTAGAAACGCATATAAAAAGGTAGAAGAAGAGTATCTAGGACTTACCCAATGCTAAGAATACTCCAAAACGCTTCAGAAACATCCCCAAGGGCAAACCTTAACTGAGCACACCACCTCTTTTCTCGATTTCTTTCTTGAAAATCTTCTCAAAATGCTATTAGATTGCATTTATGTGATTTTAAAATTCCAACGTGCTCACTGCGCCAAACAACCTAAAACAAGCAATTTAACTTAAGCTAAATTTTTGGATCCAATTCACCCTAGAGGCCTCTAAAGCCTTAACCTAAGTCCAATAGGCCTAAATGGCCATCTTAACCCAATTAATTAATTAAATCTCTAATTAATTAATTAATTAATTTAAATCCTTAAAAAAATTCTTGGATGTTACATAGATTAACCTCATGAAGCACTATAGAACTCGAATTTAGCTAGGAAGCAAGTGGTACTAGGGGATAATCTTTGAGTTCTCAAAAGTTTGAAGTAATTGAGAGAATCTATTTCGTGTTATTTGTTGTTAAAGTAATTATAGGTGTTTGTAAACTTGAATTTATATTTTTCTTTATATATAACTCTATGAATATATATTGTTTTCATTTTGAAAATATGCAAGTGTGACTTGTATATTGATAAAATATCAAACTTTGAAAGGACAAATAGTTGATAATTGATTATTTGAACTTCTTGAATTTTTGGAAAGAGCTTGATAACTATGAGTATGATGATATTATGATGTGCCATGTGATAATTAGTATGTGATATACTGGCATGATTATATTGATAGCAGGAGTTCGCCTTAATGGATAATAGTGAATTGTGTCCATGTGGATCATACTAACACTACAAGGCCTCTGTGTTTAATTCTTTACTTTACCTTTAAACCCCATCTAGTGAAGGTGGTAATTGGTGTAATAATACCCTTATGATCCTAACACTTAGCCAAAACTACCAAAGTAATCGTGGGACTAGCTTAAACAGATTATCCAAAATCTCCTTTTGTAAAACAAGTTATCTATAATTAATATGAATAACCGTAAAAGTTATGAAAATGGGATCTCAAGTTTTTAATCCTTAAAAACATGGTTAAACCAAATAGAACAATTACAAATCATATTTTAAATATTTGCAAAAGCATGGGCTATTAATTTATACTTAAATAATTAAAAATAGGTTAAAAATACCAAGAAAGGAAAAATAAAGGAGTAGTTTGTAGCATACTAAAACATATCATGGTTTATCTTTGCTGTGCCATACACTGTGGCCCATTGTATAGAATTTGATAATAGAGAGTTGTCATTAGATAGCACAAGAGCCAACTTTCAACATATTCCATTTCTATGTTTGACATCTAATTGAGGTAGTCAAGGTGTTTATAGAAAATTCTTTATACAAACTATCTAATGGCATAGCTTTCAATTTCAAATGATTTCACATCAAAAAGTTAGATATCCAAGTATATTTTAATCACTTTTTTACACTTTATCATATCAAGGGTGTCCAAAACAAAACTTATGTGCCAAAAGCCACATCTAACACTTATACCACATTCAATGAACTTATGATTTCTTGTGCAACATACCATAATAATAACAAAACGCATAATTCCCATTTTAAATCCTCAACACATGGCAACATCACTATTTTCATATTTTCATAACACATTGATGAGAGACTTTTACTTTTAACATATTATAAACCAAAACATGCATTGACACACTTTCTTTTCTTGTCAATTAATAATTATATTAATCCATTCAATTTTTTATTCTACATAGCTATCATTTTCTATAAAACCAAAACATGGAGATTTGGTGAATTTACAATTAAACATCTTATATTAATAAGACAATCTCATGTTTTCATAATACATAATCAAATTTTTCTCATAGTAACTTTTACTTATAACATATTTAAAACTAAAAGTTCATTGTTTTATGAATTTACAATTATAATTTAAACTTTTATAACATTACAAAATTCATCTCTACTCATTGGGTAGATTAAAGTCTCAAGAGTGTGTCGTCTACTTGTGTAGAACATAGAATTTATGTGTAACCAAGATCTTTCTTAAAATTCTATCAAAATCTATATATCTATACATTCACCTGCAAGATTATAACTATTTAATTTTCTCACAAATGGGTTTGTCGATGATGAGGATAATGGAATGGATTGTACCAACACTGGAATGGGTTATATTACTTCAATTTTCTTCACTTTACTTCAATTAATCAATAGGATAATAACTTACATGTCTGAATGTTAGAAAAAATGTCTTAAACTTATTACAGGGTGAGGTTTGACCATGTTAAAGGGATGAAACACAGTTTCTGCACACAAAGGTTTTCATTTTTCAAATCAAGGGTATTTTCATCATTTGAGGTTCAAAGTTAATTTCAATTTAATCTTGGAGACTTCAGATAAAATTAAAAATGTATTATCAACTGCAAATTTACTTCTTCCAATGCGGGTTTTTTTGGCACAAATTCCTATGCGGTTCGCACTAACACTTGGGGCCCACTCAATCGGCCACAAAACGCATAGCATAGGCGTGCGCTGCTGGTGCCGACTACCGAGTGCCAAAACCCTAACCCCAAACAAAGCAGCCGCTGATGCGTGACTATAAAAACGGACCAGCTGAGCGCCTTCGTTCAACCGCTTGCTTCCCAAAACCCTAAAACTCAACGAGCGTTGGGTTTTTCTTTTCAAGCTTCTCTGCACCGTCTTTGTTTCTGAAACTCCGTTGGTTTCTTCTTTTGCGTTACTAAGATGGGCAAATCCAGCAAGAAATCAGCTCCCAAGGTATGGTTCTGGCTCATTGTTTTGGACCTTGTGGCATTAATTTTTTCATTCGCGTACATGTATAAGATATTAGTTTCTTTGTTTTTCAGGTTGACCCTGCTCCGGCTGTTGTTCCGCCTTTGAAGTCTGCAAAGAAAGGTACGAGTTTTTAGTTTGTTCTGCTGTCATGATTCGACTTTCGTTTACCGTGTTATATATTTGTACGTAAGATTTGTTGTTTGCCGCTGGGTTCTCGTGACTCGGGTATTCCCCCAATTCTAGTCCTGGTTTGTTGTCTAATATACTCTTTGTCTTCCATTGGGTAGACAAAGTTGCTTCTGCTTTTGCTGTTATGGTCATTGTGGATTTTGCTGGTGATAATATAACATATTACTTGATTGTTTGTACGCGCCGCAGAGAGGTTTACTGGCGTAGAATTTAACCTAATGATTGCTTTGGTTATTATAAATTCAATGTGACTTCTCCTGGTAGAGACTTTATGGTTGCGTTTTGGGTATTCAATTTTTGGGTTGTTTTATTTCACCGTTATTGAAGGCAAGAGGGAAGCTGAGGATGAACTTGAGAAGCACGTGAGTGCAAAGAAGCAGAAGAGAGATGAAGTTGCTGAGAAGAAGAATGCCAAGGTGCAGAAAAACAAGAAGGAAAGTAGTTCAGATGATTCCTCTTCATCAGATTCTGAGGAAGACAAGGTATCTGCTTTGATTATTCTATTTCTTTTTTTTGGGCTATTTTTGGCCTTTGCCTCTATTGTTTTATGTTATTTTTTTCTTGGGGTCCAGAAAACAGCCCCAAAAGCTGTTCTTCCATCGAAGACACAACTTTCTAAGAATGGTGCTCTAAGTGGCCGGGTGAACAAAGGCAAGCCAGCTAGTAGTTCCAGTTCTTCTGAATCCTCTGACGATGAGTCCGACAGTGATGATGTGAGTAAAAGTTACAGGGGAAGATTCAAATAGTGAATAATTCATCATTATTGGTGGATGATTTGAAGCTAGTAGGAATATCTGAAAGTTCTCAACTTATAGAGTTTTTTGGACATTGTTTTAGGCTGGAAAAACCAAGGTAGCCTCTGCTGCTGGCAAGAATGGAGCTCTGACAAAGAAGAAAGTTGAGTCTAGTGACAGCTCTGATACTGATAGCAGCTCAGATGAAGAAAATGTAAATTTACTATTTTGTCATTTAGTCTCACTGATTTTTGTCAGATGCCTTATTTTATCAATGTTTGGGTGATGAATTTCAGGATGTGAGAACTAAAGTTGCCCCGCTATCCAAAAAGGTACCTGTTTCTGCCACTAAGAAAGTTGAATCAGACTCGGAATCTGACAGCAGCTCTGATGAGGATGATGTAAATGCTGAACTACTAACTTCCCTACAATATCATTCTATTCTGAATGCAACTCTTTAATATCTTAGCTTGCTGTTAAAATTCCAGGTCCCTACTAAATCATCCAAGAAGTTGTTGGCTGCTCCTGCTGCAGGTAAAAGTATGCCTGCCAAAAAAATTGGGTCAAGTGATGACACAGCCTCAGATAGTAGCTCAGATGATGATGTAGGCCCTATTTTTGATATTGTCTGATGGTCTTAGTTATTTTGATTTCCCCATAATGAAATATTGGTATGGTCTATAGGATCTAACGACAAGGGTACCTGCTGCATCAAAGAAGTTGCCTGCTACAGCAGTTCCTTCAAAGAAAAAAGTTGAGAGCAGTGAAAGCACCGATGATGAATCAAGTGAGAGCTCTGATGAAGATAATGTAATATTTGGGTTCACTGCTGTAAACTTTTTTCTTTGTGAATTTTGGATGTACTTTTGAACCGATCATATATGAAATGCTTAATGTTTAATTGAAGGGTATGAAGTCTTCTGTCAAAGCAGTTCCCAAGCCTTCCAATACTCGAAAGAAGGCTGAATCAAGTGAGAGCTCAGATTCTGATAGCAGTAGCTCTGAGGAAGACACCAAAAATGTAAATTTTTTATCGTCTATTTTCATATTAAATTATGTCATAATTTTCACCTCACTTTGGTGATGGCATGTAAGTTATTTAATAGTTCTGTCACAAACTTTCTTTGGTTGGATTAGAAAAAAGGATCCAACATTGCTTCCAATAAGAAGCCAGAAAGGGCTTCTGAGAAGATTTCCAAGTTAAAGGAAAGTTCTGATGAGACTGATTCTGATGACGAGGAGGTAAGTACTTCATTATTTCTATATTTCCCGTTGCATCTTTAAGCTTCAAAGTGTTACAAATTTGATTTGTTCATGTTTGTGCATCTACAGGAGTCCTCTGACAGTGATTCTGAGGATGAGAAGGTTTGTCTAATCTTTTTGTTGGAATAATGTTATGTTATAGTTGACATGTTACTCTTTGTTTGAGCATTTTATTTATTAGGGAAATTTAAACGAACTGTCTCAACCTGATCCATGTTTATGTTGTAGAAAACTGTTCCTAAGGCTAGTGCTAAAGCAGCTGCTGCAGTGAAGACAGCTAAAGGGGAACCTAGTGAAAGTTCATCTGAAGATGACTCTTCAGAAGATGAGGTATAGAAGAGCATATAAAAATTTGGAGTTTTCCGCTTCAGCCCAAATTGTTGAATATACTTGAATGCCATGCTTTAGAGTTACTCACTTTTCCGAGTTTTCCCTGAGGGAAATTGCTGTTACAAGTTTCAACATTTGTCAATTTTTAATAATATTAATTAATAATTAATTAATTGGTTCATTATTTATTTATTTTTGGCAGAAAACTGCGCCCCAGGCTCATATCAAAGCATCTGCTGGTGTGAAGACAGTTAAAAAGGAGTCTAGTGATAGCTCATCTGAAGATGACTCTTCTGAAGATGAGGTATGGAACAGCGTACATGCATGGTTGGGGTTTTGAACATATGTGATGCTGTGTTTTATAGTTGTCCCTAATGTAACTTTCTATTTATAAGGTTGCACATTTGATAATCAGTAATAGCACTGTCTGATTCTTTATATTGCGAGTTAACAAATTATGAAAAATGCTAATTTTTAGGATAAGATGGATGTTGATGAAGAAAGCGAGGAGGAGCCACCAAAGAAAAAGGTAAGGGCTTTGTTTTGTAGATCTTTTGCTGCAGAACTATCCCTCATGTTTTTATTTTCTTTTTTCATTTTTTTTAATTCTGAATCTTATGTTTCCTCAAAGCTCTAAAACTGTTGAAAAGGATGGTTCTAGTCTGTCATGCGTATCATGGTTTATTTGCTGTGAAGTTTTAATTTCTCAAGTTTATTTTTCTAGTCTCAAAAAGTTTCAAAGGAAAGCAATGAAAATTCAGAGAGCTCAGATGATAGCGAAGATGATGATGATGAGACACCTTCCAAGACTCGGAAATATGTTAGCACATACCACTCACTTGGTTATTCTTTATTCCATTTAAACTGTAATTCCCTTGAGTACTTGCTTACCGGTTGTAAAACAGGCTAAGGATTTGGAGATGGTTGATGCTGCATCGGCAAAGTCAAATGGAAAGAAAACTGTGTGCTCTTTATACCTTTTCATTTGCTTTTCTGCAACAATAATGTTTTATCAGTTATGTGATTTTTTGTTTTGTAAAATTTTGCAGCCTAGCACCCCTGCTACTCCAAAAGTACAGAATGTGGCATCAAAGTCACTATTTGTTGGAAATTTGTCATTTAAAGTATCACGGGCTGATGTGTACGTATTTTTACTGTACCTGTCCTAGGCGGGAATTTTCTGTATGTTTTTTGATCTCACAATTCAAAATTATTCAGGGAAGACTTCTTTAAAGATTGTGGAGAAGTGGTTGATGTCCGTTTGGCCTCAGATGAAAATGGGAGATTTAAAGGTTTTGGGCATGTCGAATTTGCCACAGAAGAAGCCGCACAAAATGTAAGCATTTACTGGCTGACTGACAAATCACTTCAGAACTTGTCACATAGCTTTGAATCTGTGACAGTTGTGCGCTTGTTAGTTACCATTGACAAAGGCAATATGCATTGAACCCAAACTCTGTATTTGGCTTTATTGATGTTCTCTGACCTTTGAGTCAGATATTTTGAGGATGATATCTTTATTTGTTATAAATAATTTGTCGAGTCTAGAAATAGAAATGCTCTTAGAAATTAATGTTGGTCGTGTAAACTAATCTTCTTGTTACTATTTACACTGTACTTTAAATTCATATTCCCAGATGTGCTTCTATTTCTCTGGGAATTTTTTTAATAAAAAGCTATCATGTTTTGTTCGTTAATTGGTTTCTATATTTTCACTGACCTAGAATGTGTTGGTTCCCTTGGGTATGGAAATATTTTTCAATATTTTCAACTTTTAAGGTGTCGAAAATGTATCATTGATGTGGCTTGTTTTCTTAAGATGGATTTGTAGGTAGGTTTGTGATCCTATGGTATATTCGTGGATGTCACATTTGGATGCTATCCTAGAAACACCAGTAGGGGTGTATTTGTAGAATCTTAATTTTCATTAATAAGAAATGGTGGTGTGGACTGATAATATTCAATCAATGTGGTAGATTGTTTTATGTGTGCCTGTTTGGCTGACTTGCTATGCCTCTATCTTGCATCGTCTGATGTTCATTCATGTGTGCAAAAGTCTGCCTTTTTATTTGTTTATAACTTCTGTTCGACTGAATAATCCATTTCTCTGTTCGTAGGCCCTTGAGTTGAATGGGGAAGAATTGCTTCAGCGTCCTGTCAGACTTGATTTGGCTCGTGAAAGGGGAGCCTATACCCCTTCTAGCGGGTATTCAAGTGTTATTTGTGCTTGATTCAACCCCCACCTTAAGTTTCTTTTCCTGACCATGAGGTATTTTGGTGTCATTCTTGTCTATGAATGTAGCAACTTTAGCAATGCATTCCAGAAAGGAGGACAAGCTCAAGTGCATACAATATTTATCAAGGGTTTTGATGCATCCCAAGGGGAAGATGTGGTACATTTACTTTATTATTCATTTATTCTGCATACTGACTTGTGCTTCAGTTCCCACGCCAGAATTGCTTTAAACCCTTTATTTGCATAATTCAATGGTGTGAATTTTTTTATTAGCTGTTGATTTCATCAACTCTGTACTTTCAGATTAAAACAAACCTCAAAGAGCATTTCAGTTGTGGAGAGATTACAAGGATATCAATTCCTAAAGATTATGATAGTGGAGCTGTCAAGGGGTAATTTGCTTTGTCATTTACAATTACCATTGGATATTTTTTTTATTCCAATTCACTATACAAGTATTCATTAAGCATTTGCTTATTTTGAAGTTATAAGCTATAGAAAACTGTCTTTCCTTTCATGTTTTGTACCCTCTTAAAAGTAAATTCAAACAGATGAAAGGTATATCTTATCCAGTGTGGCCTTTTTTTAAGTGCTTATTTTTATCTTGCTTTTATTTCAAGTAATCGGCATTTGGCAATTGAAGGACCCCTTTTGAGATTGTGTATATAGCCTTTCATTACAATGTGATTTTCATCTATTGGTCCTTGAAATGTACTAACTTGCATTGGTTCTTTGATGCATGGGTGAATCCTAGATTTTAAGAAAAACGAGTTGTACTTGATACATGTCAAATCTTTTTGCCCAGTCTTTAATTGTGTGAATTGTAGGTATGCCTACATTGATTTCAAGGATGTTGATGCCTTCAACAAAGCGCTAGAATTGAATGGTAGTGAGCTTGGAGGTGGTTATTATTTGACAGTTGATGAGGCAAAACCTCGAGTTGATAATCAAGGTGCAAGTGGTGGTAGAGGTGGTGGAAGGAGTGGTGGTAGAGGCGGAAGAGGTGGCGGCGGGCAATTTGGTGGAAGAGGTGGTGGCGGTCAATTTGGTGGAAGAGGTGGCAGAGGTGGTCGCGGAAGAGGTGGTGGTGGCAGGGGGCGTGGTACGCCCAATAGACCAAGTCTTGCTGCTGCAGGCACAGGTAAGATGCATGTCATCTATTTCTTGATCAAATTACCTTCAAGCTCTTCCTATTGGTATTTAGAAGTTCGTGTGCCCATCTTCGTACATTGAAGAGTTACGTCGTTTTGTCCATTTATGCATTGTCATGCTGCAGTTTTTTTCGATTTATACCCAGATCAACGAATTGTTTATCAACATGATCAGCACTAGTTGTGTTGATGTGAAAACTAATTTTCACGTTCATTTTCTGCTTGAATCAGGGACAAAGACCACATTCGAGGACGATGATTAAAGGAACGGTTACTGAGAATTTTCTGTTCTATATTTATTACGTTCCTTGCTCCAGTTTTGGTAATTGGTTGTACTTTCATACTTTGTTTGACTACCGTATTCTTGAAGCTCCCGAGCCCTGCAGTTTTGTTCCTGAGGAATAGATACTCAATCTAATGTTTTCAAGGATATAATGAGTATATATCATTATTATTATTATTATTCAGGGGATTAAGATTGCTATATTTGTCTATTCTCGTACTTTTGACACTCAAACCGGAAAAAGAAATCTTGAGTAGAACTTGCATGAAATGTTTCTTAAATAAGCTTAATTTAATATTAAATTAAATATTAAAATTTTTATAAAATTATAAATATAAATTTAAAAATTTAATCTGTGCAGAGTACTTTGATAGAGAATTAGATTGAAGTTTAATATAAAAAAATTAATTATTACAAGATTTAATGATAATTAAAATAAAATTTATAGTTTAATTGGTAATAAATTTTATAGTAATTGTTTTTACGTGAGATCAGATGTAATTCTTCCGTTTTAATAGTAAATTGAATCTTTTAAATTAAATTTAAATTATATTAAAAATAAAAAGTTTGTTAAAATTATTTCATAATTTTTATGAATTTTTATTTAATAAATATAATAAAAAATATATAATAATATTTTAAATTTGAACTTTTTATTTTAAAATTTAGATGGTTTAGATGTGAAATGAGTAGGAAAATTGATAACGGACGGTGACACTTTCATACGTACACTTCATTGCATGGAATATAAAATTCACAACCTCTATTTGAAGTGGATGTCAGGTGCTGTTAAGTCGAGAGGAACGAGGAATCTCATCAAATATTGTTTACCTGTCGAGTAGGAATCGCATCAAATGTGGCAACGCCACCCAACCCAGCACCATATATCAAACAATCGTCACCATTGAAAGGAGCAGCAGATGTATGCGGCCAGGCTTTATTATTATTGTCAGCATAGAAAAGAAGGGATGAATAAAAAATTGTTGAGGTTCTCGCTGGGGCAGCGTTTCCACTACACCACCAAACCTTCCCATTCATGATATTAGGTCTTTGTGCTTTGCTGCCATTATTTTTTAATGCAAGGTCACACAGATATTCCGTGCAATAAAAATATAAAAATCAAGTCATGCCAAATGCCATAAATCTTAAAGATGGATGTTAAAATATAACAAGATCTAGATCATTTGATCGAAGGTTATGATTTAGTTTTTCATGATAAAATTTTTAACTTTTTTAATAGTTTTTGAAAAAGGGTGACTATTAGAGAAATTATGTTGAATGAGAGAGAGAAAAATCAAAATAAATATTGATTTTAGTGAATCATGTATTCTAATGAAGATGAAACCCTTCTAAAAATACTCAAAAGTTCAACTGTAATACTAGGTTAGTAACCAAACTAGTTTGAGAATCTCTTAATCTAATTCTTTTTGTTGTGTCCCATGTAAGTTGTAATTTCACTGGATTTGACAAAAACATTAATGTCAAGTTGAACCCAACCTGATTGTCATTATGCATTTGTACTAACCAATCTCTTGACTATTTTCTTATTAGCTATGAATGTGTCTTCCTATCCAAAAAAAAAAAAAAATCATGTTTGGGGTACCATCATCACAAATTGCATGTTCAGTACATGAAAAAATATTTTTAGAAACAAAATGAGATTATTTTTTTTCATTTTTTTTAGAAAATACTTTTTTAGTTACGAAACATTGCATTAATAAGAGCACTTTCTTAATGAAAATTTAAATCTTAATTCATTACATTATGATGAACCAGGCTCTTATACTAGATTAAACTCTCTTAATTGTCTTTCCACTACTATAATTTTTTGTGTTAAGTTGTTCGTGTCAAAATTGTAAGCTTTATTTATTGGAAATTGAAAATCTCAACTATTTTCACATTAGTCTAATCTATATGTCATATAATTTTTTTTTGTGAGGCAGAATATAATTTTCAATGTAAATAATTAAAGGAATGTTAAAAAAAACTAACTCACATTTTTGGATGTAGTTATCTAGCTCTTATGTCTAGAACCGAAGGGAGTGTTTATTTTATATAAATAGTCAATTATGATTTGTTTCATCCGAAGTTTGAATTCTTTTGGTTAATATCATCAATCATCAATTCACAAAATATAAAAATGTAAGCTTATTTCACACTCTTAATTATTTAATAAAAAGGCACTCTTAATTATAACTTATTAACAATTCCATTCCACTTATTTATTAAACTGTGTGGGAGATTTACTTCCTTTTTTTTTTTTATAAATACTACCACTATACAAAATATTGAAGATCTGTCATATTAAATGATTCTCACATATTTCTTTTCACTAAAAAAAGTCGATAGTCAGCAAATAAGTTTTGGTCGCCAGAAAAATAAGTTTGATACGTTTAATTATATCCATAAAATATTTTATTTTTAAACCCAACCAATGCATCTATAATGATTTGGTCATAGATAAGTGAAATGATACATGCTAATACTTTTCTTGTTGTACTTATATACTTTTCTTATGGCTACGGATACAGTTGAACATTAACTTTTTATTACTGTCGTTAGAATCAAAAGTTTCTAAATGGTAAATATAGATTTTATTTGACAAAAAATCATTGGAACAGCCGCTTGAGCAACCTGACCCGTTGAAGTCAATGTCCCCGTTTCTACCCATCTCCAGGAGTGCATGCGTCAAAACTCTATCGCAGAGACTGAGCGGGGAGACGAAAACATCGGAGGAAGAAGAAGAAGAGAGCATATAACTAATCATGTCAGAGTCCAATGCAATGGCCAATGGGCTGGCCGGTGCAGGCGGTGGCATCATTGCTCAAATCATAACTTATCCTCTTCAAACGGTACCCTACCCCTTTGCTTCTCCTTCCCTCCCTCTCCCCCTTATCAAATTCAATTTCCATTGCAGGTAAATACTCGCCAGCAAACCGAGAGAACGCTCAAGGGCAAGAAGCTGGGCCTTCCTCATTCCCCTAACACGCTTCTTCAGATCCTCCAGGTACAAATTTTGTTCTTTCTCTTTCATGTCTTGCTTCTTTTTCACTTATTCGGTGTTTACTGATTATATTATGATTATGAATCGTTATTAGGTTGTTAGAAGCGAGGGTTGGGGCGGGCTATACAGTGGCCTCAAGCCTTCTCTCCTTGGTACCGCTGCTTCTCAGGTCAGGTCCCTCAGCTTGTTACTCCTCTTTGTCCGTAAAATAGCTTGATGCAGTTTTTGCCGCGTATTGAACTGATGTAATGAATTTCTGCTATCAGTTAATGCTTCCTCAATCTAACAACATGAACCCACTCAATGTGTCATTTCTCTGGGATTTCTAGCATCCTTAGCGTCAATTTTAACTACGTCTCCATCTATTCAGCTATGACGGGCATAATAGAATAGTATTCAGGCTCTTATGTATGCTTTTTATTGGCCTTTTGGCTATGATCTAAATAATCTTTTTTGAATTGCTACCAGGGCATTTACTACTATTTTTATCAAATTTTTAAAAATAAGGCTGTGGCCATTGCTGCTGCCCGTAAAGTCAAAGGACGTGGAGATGGTACTGTTGGCATGCTTGGTTGGCTTGTTGTGGCTGCTATTGCTGGGTGACTATCCATATGCCACATCCATTTAAATGTTGCATTTCTCAAAAAATGCTCTCTCTCTCTCTCTACATGCGCGCGCGCGCGCGCCCCTTTTATATGTGACAGTTAACCTGACTCAGGAGGACAGTCAGTTCATTTACCTTTACTCTTAGCCTACAGTAAACAGTTCACAATTGATTGATTTTGTTTTCCAATTGTTTGGTTGTGCAGGTCCTTGAATGTTTTGTTTACAAACCCACTATGGGTTATAGTGACTCGCATGCAGGTGCTTTTTTATGCCACCTAGTTCTGAGACTAATTTGTTTTTTTTTTATTGCTGGTAAAATGACATCCTTGTTACTTTGTACCTGCATTTATCTATCGATTTTTGGTCTTTTACAAGCAAATAAGCTAATATACTTTCACTCTTACGAAGGGTATAAAATGCTGCACATGCCTTAGAGAGTGAAGTTTTATGGTTTGGATCCTGTTGATTTTTCAAAACATTTTTAAAATTGGATCTTGATTGGATGGATGCACAAGTTTTCAAGCCACTCTGAGCATGGACAGGATTTTTTCCTGCGGAACGTTAATATATTTATTATGGAAGTTATAACAAAGGAGAAGAAGCCAAAAGAGATGTTTAGATTGCTGTGGTTTCCTTTTAAGCATATTGTGCGTGACGTTTTTTTTGGTTTTAGACACATACTCAAGCAGAAAGAAAAATTATGGAGGGAAAGAAAGAAGCTTTGCGCAGAGAAGCATCAGAAAGCAGTTCTGCCGGTTCAACATTACAAGACAAATTAGCTGAACTGGAATCTATAAAACCTCAACCATATGGAACTCTACATGCAGTTAGTCCCTAGCTTCTTCTTCAACTTTATTCCGGGGTTTTAGTCTTCTATTGATTAAAGCATGGACTCTTTTTCTATCTTTCTTCTCCTTTTCTTTCAATCTCTCACCACTTTCATACATACTGTAATATAAATTGGCTCTCCATGTCTTGAAGAATGATTATTCTAGCTTTCCTGCTTGCAAGAACAACTTCAATGCTTAGAATTTTTTTTCCCTATGTTTTTCTTGATCTGGCACTAGTCAACTTTTTTCTTTTCGTCCCCCCCACCCCACATTTCCCTCACGGGTGCCTTTTCAATTTTGGATGCTCCATGATCTATGTTGCAAACAGAAAATAACTTTGATTTACCCCCTGACATACATAATTGCACTTCATTCTAATAAAAACACATTATTTTTAGGGCTGTGGTTCAATTTTGAAGGATAGTTCTTGTAGTTATAAAATCTAGTTATAAAATCATTGCCTTTCCAAACTCAAGCCATTTTTCTTCTGTTTATGCTGACACCAATTTTTGTTTTGGATGAAAGGCAAATGAAATCTATAGTGAAGCAAGTATCGCTGGATTTTGGAAGGGTGTCATCCCTTCTTTGATTATGGTGAGCCTCATCTTTATTTTGATGTGTTAAGTTCAATTGTGATGTTTGAAATCGCCTTATAAATAGGAAATCTCATTCTAGGTGTGCAATCCCTCAATCCAATTTATGATTTATGAGAGCTCGTTAAAGCATTTAAAGGCAAAACGCACGGCTAAGAATCAGGGGAATAAAAATGTAACTGCTTTTGAGGTATGTATCGGATATAGTAACTGCTTTAGTGCTCTGCATTTGGGGTTTTTTTATAGGAGTCACTATATCTGATTTGTAAACAAATGGGAGAGCTCTAGTGCTCTTAAATTTCATAAGGCTTTTGTATTTTGTCCCGTTTTGAGGTTTTCTTGTCATTTGTGGTTTGAGGACATCTTATCCTCTAATAAGTTGTGTTATTATCCCTAAAAAAATTTCTTCTAAACAAGTCAGAGTACTTTTAGATGACTGAAGTTTAAAGCAATGTTTACAACCACCTTTTAATTGATTGTCACTTGTTCTGTATATTTCGGCTTGTGCTTATTTGCAAACATCATCTTGTCTTTTATTAAGGTCTTTTTGCTGGGAGCCCTTGCAAAACTTGGAGCAACGGTCTCAACATATCCCTTGTTGGTTGTTAAGGTAAATTCACCCACTGTTCTTTTATTTTCCTTTTTAATTATAATTTTGTGTTAAAGATGCTGGATAAAGTGCAGCTCATCCTCATTAACATCTCCAAAGAAACTGTACCCTCTATGAATATTGGTCTATAGCTTATGAGTCTATTTCTAAAATGAACAATTCCTGAACTTGATAAACTTATCTTTAAACTAAGTGATTTTGGATGAATGCTCTAAACTCGTTCATTTGCAACTAGAGTTCATTCTCTTGCAATTTTGCTTTCAATAATCGTATTTTGTTGAGTATTCAACACAAGAACTTGTAGACAGGCATACGTAAATATCAACACATTTGACTAATGCTGTTCTCTACCAGTCAGCAAAGGCACAGGCGTAAGCACGTATGCACATTAGCCACTTTCTTATATATGTCTGATGTTTCTTATTGCTTCATATATTCTCACTTTCAGTCAAGGCTTCAAGCCAAACAAGAGATTGGTGGAAGTAGCTCGTTAAGATACTCAGGTTCGCGTTTAGAAAGATTCATGAATTGCTTGAATTTGTCTTTGAATTATTAAAATCTCGAGTATCCCTATTCTTATCTGACAGACGGCCATCACTTTGTTTCAATTATTTTATGGATGTGACATCATCATCCGTGCCACTTGAACTTTTGTCAGTTGCTGTTGTAAAGTTGTCAGAGTTCACTTGGCTGATGCTTGGTGCCACACGTTTTCAAAATTTGCTGTTACACTAAGACGATCGCGTATTCTGCTTGACTTGTTTTGTGAAGCTTCTGAACCTTTAAAACAGAATGATTTCATTGTGAAGAAGGATTAATTTGTCGCAGCTAATTAATTTTATTATCTGGTTAATTCTGGTATAGCCAGCCAAAACCTTTTCTGCTTTCCTTTCTGATGATATTGATGGACCTTTGGCATAAAGTGTAAACATACGCAGAGGAATAAGGGAAGGGTTGGTTGTGAGGAGGGTTTGTAAATTGAGAGCAAGCAGGGGACACATGTCATTATTAAAGTGGGTGTTATAAGGAAGACGACTTATAAGGAAGGATTGAAGGAAGAGTGGGCAGGGGTCAAGGGAAAGTTAAGGGTTGGATTTGGAAGATGGCTAGCATCTCAAACATGCATTGTTTTATCTACTCCGCATATTTTTTATGTTTCTGTACAAGTGTCTCGGCCATTGTTGCGATTTGCCTCTGCTTTTTGGTTAATGTTCTCATTGAAGAAATAAAATAATTGGCTGCCAGCCTGTGGGTGTTTCTTTTCCTTGGAATCATGTAGTAAAGTCATCTTCTTTGAACTTGTCTGAGTATTTGGTTGCCTAAATGTATTCCTTTCTTGTAATAATTCTGTAAACGTAGGTACTTTTGATGCAATACTTAAAATTATCCGTTACGAGGGATTACCTGGATTTTACAAGGGGATGAGCACAAAGATAGTACAGAGTGTTTTTGCTGCTTCTGTTCTATTCATGGTCAAGGAGGAACTTGTTAAGGCTTACATGGTGTTGGCAGATAAGAGCAAGACACTTGTCTTAAAAAGTTGAGTAACCGAGTTCATAACCCATATGGAAGGCAAATCTGTGCATTGTACAAATAATGGGACCACGCAGGCCTGGATGAGCCATCTTCTTGGCACTCAACTGTGGGCATGTGATCTGTAATTGTCCTAAAATTGTGAATACCAGGAGAAGGGGAAAAAAAAAAAAATCGAGAGTCAATTGGAGAACGTTACCTGCTTGGTAAAATTAGAATGAGAAGATAAGGATTTTAATTATTTGAACATGCTTTTATTGTTTGATGTAATTGTGAATTTATAATTATTTAATTTGAATAATTAATAAATTAGAGTTTGTTTTTTATTTTTAGTATTTAAATAATTATTATTTTTTATATTTTAATCATTTTGTCATCTAAATATGCTTTATTTTGGAGAATATGTGCAATTATTTAAATAGGATAATTGAGGAACTTAAAAAAAAAAATTCTCGGGAGTGATTATTTACTTTTAGAATTATTTGCTGGCCACTTTTATCTTGTTGATTCATGTCCTTAAATTTACAGAGCGACTTCAAATTATGGGCAAGCTAATTGGCATTGTAATAAAATTAAGGAAAAGATGGGCATCTTGCCCCGTATCATACCAAAAAATTAAGTGTCCTCGTGCGTCTTGGGTTGAAATATTTATTTGTTGATTTACATTAATTAATAAGCTCAGACAAATTAGTTTTTATAATTTTGTATAGATTGTGATAGGTGGATCACACAAATGAGCTCAATGGGCAGAGGTCCAACTTACAACCTTGTAACCGTAAGTTATTTCTTATTTTTTTAATTGATTAGGTCAAAGATAATGCAATATAATTAATTAATTAATTAAGTGGTTATTGATCTGGTCCATATAAGCCAATCAATCAATAACCACAAACACACGACTCTTTTCCATTCTTTCCATTATCTCTACACTCACTGAAAAAATATGAGGGTCCGATAAGTTGTGTGTTTACCTACACTCGAGGTAATCAAAGCATTACAATCAATCATGAAGTCTTCAAATACACAAATTACTTTGCTTAAATCTTATTTAATTTATATGAATTGAAATACTAATGCTAAAATCTTAGAGCTGCCTAGCATATTGGCTGGACTGGATTTCTTGAATAAGAAGTTGTGATAGATGGGTTTGGGGCTCCCTTAATGGTAGATTGTCATTTGATTTTGATGATGATAATGAGTTAGTAAGGCTTGTTTCTGATTTGATTGCTAATAATACTTGGAATTTGAATTGTATTTTTGGTTTGCTGAAGGAGGAAGATAGAGAGTTGATTATGAAAATGCCTTTACCTATATTTAATGATAAGGATGAGTTCGTTTGGGATGATGCCTCTAATGGGATTTACACAGTTAAATTGGATACAATTTTGCAAGGGTAAAATGTATTATAATTTGTAAGGACCCAAGCACTTCTATTCATATTGATGAGGGTTTGTGGGAAAGTATTTGGAAATTGGGTCGTATGCCAAAATTAAGCATTTTATTTAGAGATTGATTAATGGTGCTTTGTGGGGAAAAAAAATGCTTGAGTAATCCTGTGTGCAATATTTGTGACAATGAGGAGGAAACTAGAGAGCATATGTTCTTAGTATGTCATTGGTTTAGGGCTGTTTGGTTTGGGGGACAATTGGAATGGAAAATTAAAAGTCAAAGTGTAAGAAGAATTGAAAATTGGCGTGAATTTTGATTGATGAAAGCTGATTTTATTGATGATATTAAATGTCAAATTGCTCTCACATGTTGGTACATTTGGAAATTAAGGTGCATATTTTTGTTTGAAGGCATTGATGTAGATCCTGGGGAGGTAAATAAATTGGTTGATTGGTCTCTTTATGAAGCTCAAAATATGCTTCTAAATGAGGTAAATAAGGTGGGTATTAAATCTCATAAACATAGAACTTGTTGGAGGCTTTCTGTAACATCCTGAAATTTTAAGACTCGAATTTATAAAAAATAAAATAAAATAAAATATTTATAATTAAATTAAAATTTAGAATAATTTGATAGAAGTCCAAAGTTTGAATTTTACTAAGCAAAAGTTTGGTTTTATTTAATTTTTAACTATGGGAAAAATTATCAAAGTTGACTCGAGTTTTTGTGCAATAATAAAAAATGTTGGGCCCTTTCTTGTAATTTTTCCCAAACTTTTTGACCAGCATTTTAAGAAGCAAACTGGATGCAGAAAATGCAGAAAGGAAAGAAGAACAAAAACGTAGAGAGAGAGAGAGAAGAGAGGAGAAAGGGAGGGAGTTAGGCTTGGATCTAGGAGTCTTTGCGACCGTTGCGAGCTCGGCTACACGATAGGTAAACTCCCTACTTCAATCCTTTCCCTTTCTCTTGATTTTCTTCAATTTTTGGAAAGGAGATTTTTGGATTTTGATCCCAAAGGCTTTATTCTTGTAAGCTTTTGTTTCTTTGGATCCTAGGGAGCATGTTTTGAGTTTCTATATAGTGATCTAATGTTTTGAGTGAATAATTGGATGAAAAGAGGTGTTTTGGGCACAAAATAAACCCTGAGAAATTGGGTTTTTGCTCCTCAATGGTTTAAGCCTATTGATTTAGTTATAATTTTGCTATTTGAGCCCAATAAGATTTAAATTAAGGTTTGATTTTCATTATAAGGGCTAATGGTGAAAGTTGGTGGCACTAAGTAAAGGTTTTTAATTGATTAAAAAATTATATAAATTGGAAATTAGCCTAGTGATGGCTAATAAATGGTTTTGGTGGTTAAGTGATACTATGTGAATGGTTGGTTTAATATATGAACCATTGGGATGGATTATGGCTCATAAACCCAAGTTGTGTGGTATGAGTTATAGTCTTCATTAATGCTATTTGACATGATAAGTGATGTGGATCACTTATATATTGTAGGAATTGTTGGTGGAATTTGTTCAGAAGTTAAGGAACAAGCCGAGCCCTATTTTGTATAAGGGGAACCCTTTTGGTACCAAAGGGTTGAAGTAACAGGGGAATTTATATTTCTTATTACTTTGTTTTAGCTATTTTTGAATAAATATTACTAGTTATCATGCATTACATGTTTTAAAAGATTAAATGTGCTTTATAAGGGGTTATGGGGTACTACTTTGATTATAGTGTAAATATGTTTTCTAATTGTTTAATAACAATGTTTTTATGGAAATGAGATTTATAAATATTATACTACTTTAGAGTGTTGAATGGTCAATACTCAGGAAAGGTAAAAAAGAGTAAAAGGCATGATCTCGGTGGGAGTTCACCAATGAGAAGGTGTGGATTTTTGATATTCTATGGCACACTGTCAGTACTCAGTGTTGTCTTACGTATTGTGGGCTCAGTGCACTAAAGTGGTTAGTGTATTGACTGTTCGACACCTCTCAGTGGGGGAGGGAATCCAACATATGAAGTGTGAGGTTGAGTGCCTAGGCCAAGGTAGCCCTCACATGGAAAGTAAGTTGGGCTGGCTCTGGGAGGGAGTTAGCTTCAACTGCTTAGGATTCACGTTGAAGGGGCATAGGAGGTTCGGTGGATTAGATCATGCCTTAGATTATGTTTTGTACCTGTGGAGGTACAAGTAGGTATAAGGTTTACCTGCGAGTTAAAGAGTGTCAGGGGCATTCTGTTGGTCATAAAAGGCCATACCGGTCTATGTCATACATTCATACATTTTAAATGGCTAAATTATATACTATGTTGAATTTATTATTCATTTATTTGATTATGGCTTACTTTGTAATAATCAATGTAGATTTCTCTGTTACTGAGACTGTGGTTGTCTCACCCTTTTCTTTTCAATATTATAGGTCCAGGTGAAGGATCCAGTGGTGGACGGGGAAAGGAGCAAAGCTAGGGGTTTGCTTATGATTTGTAAAGAACTGCAACCCCTTTCTCTTGAGCAAATATATTGTAATGTATTTAAGATTAGGTGCCAGTAGAAAATAATTATGTATGTGTGTGTGAATATGTGTGGATTGTGTGCTTGTGTATGAATTTTTGTCTGTTTATAGACTTGTAGCTAGAAAACTTGGTTATGGTGTATGGTTTTGATGGATTTACTTAGTAGACCAAGTTTCTATTACAAGCAGTTATTTATTTTTTGTGTGTGTGTGTGTGTGTGTGTTGTAACACCCTCAAATTTACAAACCGATTTTTCACAAATTATTAATTCAACAAATTATTTTTTTTTCATTGAACCCTTATCATACCCTTATCATGGTAGAAAAATTTCTACCATGATACATCCAAGACAATATATCATAGGTCTTAAAATATCTCAAAAAGCAATTAGAACTATGAGCGACAGACAGGATCCTCATGTCATGATATTCAAATCAGATCATAAATCAAGAGGGACAGACATAATCCTCTTGGTTATATAAATACTTTTAATAAAAAGGATTAGAGTTTACATGCTCCACAATGAAGATATGTCCTAAGTTGGCACAAGATACATTGTATAATCCAAAATAAGAGGCAACGTAAAAGATGGTGTCTCATACACCATAATTACACCTCTGGTGCTTTCTCGGCCGGACTCGCTCCTGTAAAAATATTAACCACGGGGAATGAGACTTAAAAGTTCTAGTAACTAAAAATTAATATGTAATGATGCATGCGGATGTAACTAATCATGCGATTGCTAAGTGGGCACACAAAACATTTAACCGAACAATATTTTCAAACAAACCGAACAAGTATTTAATTTGCATGACTGCACCTTATATCCTCCTTTCGCCATGCTCGGACGCCAAATCACCCGGCCAAAGGTGAGTTGGACCAAGCGACACGCTACTCATTGAGTCCAATGAGGGCTTACCACGTGGTAATAATTAACCAAACAGAAATTCCCATTAACACCATATATTAAAATACCCTGACAAGTCATGCATCATTCAAATATCCAAACAGGAATATATCCGAACAATAATATCTCATCATGATAAACAAAAATAAATTTTTAACCCACTTGGCAATAATTTCAAACAAGTATATACAGTATTTATTTTCAATAATTCATAATTTTTCTCAAACAACAAAACAACACATAACTATTCACAAACACACCGATCACAACACATTAATAATGGTTACCTTGTGTCTTGAATAACAAGTTCCCCTTCACAACTCCTCTTTCACCACTATCTTTGTCAACACAATCTACATAGTTATTTCATAATACTATATATTAATTTTACATTAAAATAAATAACTCTAATTTTAAGAGTTAGAAAGTCTTAGATCTATAATTCATATTAACACTAATTTAAGATTTATGCCTCATTTAACTTTCCAAATTCTTTTTTAAAATTCTCGTACCCTAATAAAC